AAATTTCCATTCCAATGGGGTGGCAAAGGAGTGCTTCAAAGCCCTCCGTAAATATGTCACTGTTTCCAAATACAAGTTTGGTTTACAATTTTGTAAACATTTTGCACTCTTTAACAATTACAGTATTATGACATGACAAAAGTAAAACCAACTGTAGCCCCACATGTAATGGTTCTGTAAATTAAATATTTTATTTTTATTACATTGTGGTTTTTATTATATGGTGTCTAGAGTATGTTTATATACTTATATGTGAGTTGTCACAAAATGAGTTTCTTGGTATTATACATACAAATTATTTTTATTGATATATCAAGTCACATCATAAGCTATATTATGGTCTTTGATATAAGTTAATTACTGTAAGTACCGTAGGCCTATTGCAGCATTGGACATTTCTGAAATTGAGATGTCTCAATACATACTACTGTAAGTACAATGGAGTAAATTAATTTAAGTAAGGGGAATATTCCCCCAGCCCTGTTTTGCCACTAAATTTTAACATTTCAAGGCATATATAGAAATTAGCGCTCTCACTTTAATATCTATATCTATTCTGAATATGTTGTGGCCCCCACCCGTTTGAAAAATTCTGGATCCGCCTGTGTAAAACACAGAAAGAAAGCGATAAGAAAAACGAATATATTTAAGTAGGAGAAAAAAATGTTAGGTACAGGTAAAAAAGAAGCAGGAAATCAGGGATAATACATGCCATCATGAACTAAATATTTTAAAGCAAATGTAGAAGTAGAACTTACTTCTGTTCTTACAACCTTGAATCTATCCGGCCAAAGCAGATTTTAATGGGTTAAAATTGGTTGTATTTTCTTTAGCTACACAGATTGCATTTCATAAGAAACTCTTTTCTAGCCACACACATATCTTAAGAGGATTTAATGCACCCAATTTGCCATCAAAGCAACCAAACCTGAAGACTTAAAATATACCTTCTACAGTAGCACATTAATCCAGTAACATGAATATTCATGAAACCAATAAATTATACCCAATTCCATAAGCTATTCTTAGACTTCCCCTCCCTCAACCTACTTACGATACAGTGCAGAATAAAGTTTCGCATCATTGCATGTATCAAAATACGGTTTCACAATAAATTCTATATTTAGGTTATCAGGACACTAATCTATCTCTTGGATTCACTGAGCATTGAAGCCCGACATAAAATTTCTGATACAATATGGCAGGATATACTAGCGAGAACTAAAATCTTATTCAAGATGCTGATCGTAATTCTCTATAGGCCTTTGACTATAATTTGCAGGAGATTCACCAGAGACAAACATATCCCTATGGTTTTCTTGTCTTTCATGTATGGTTTACAGCAATCGAAAGAACACAGTATTAAAACCACGCTGCACATCAGGTCCAAATAAATTGTCATGATGTCTTCTGTGAATGACCACAAAAATCCTGGTTTCCCTAAAAATCCCTTCAGTGTTGCTACAGTGTTTTCAGTGCAATAGGGAGGCTCCCCAATTCGACCGCCTAATCAGCATCACCGAAAGCTGTCAGCGATAACGTGTAGCGATTGTACTGTATGGAAACCTAAACTCGAAAAAAAGTTTTGGGGCACAAAAGCTACGGTACAACCACATTTTCAAAAGAAAATAACCTAGAAAAATAAATTGAATATATTGTTGTATCAGTAAAGTAGAAATAGTATGCAAAAAGCTCTGTGGCTATTTAAACAGTCTGAATAATTTGTTTCATTGCAAACAGAAAGGCCCATAGGCAAAATGTTGAACGCAAGTCACAATAGTGTCAAATCAAAATGCACTATGATCACTTTCAGTCCGCTGGGAGATATTTAGATAGCATCTAATGGTAATCAGTTACACAGCCAGGCTGAATCTTAAATCAATGCCATCTCTCAACTTTTAGTCATTACCACCTTAATCACAGTTAATGAAACAAGTTAAACTAAGCAAATATCAATATTGAATTTAATAGTCAATTTACGCTTTGTTGATTTCACCACTAGTTTGAATTATTTACAATCACGAATAGGTAGTGGTCTCATTTTTCATAGTTTCATGACAACAATTGTGGTATTCAACCTATTCAGTAACAGTTACGCATGGTGCTCAGGCTATTATAATGTTTGATTATCCTCTCAGACAAATTTTTACTATTTACAATATCCAGAGTATGCAAATGAGGTGTGATAGAATATTTTTAGTTTCTCATACAAATTAAGCTTGTGAAAATCAAAAAAAAAATTCTCCTTTTGATGTGAAAATGGTCAAAATAAGGCAATTTCATCGTTTTCATATTTGTTATAATGTTACTGTAAATGCTCTCTTTAAGATGACTTTTTTCTAGGTGCCTGTTTTGGGCACAACAAATATCTGTACATATTCCCGCAAATTCGACGATTCAGCTTTTCCAAAACTGCTTGAATGGTTGAATTTAAGTATGTTACCATATGGATTATCTGCAACAATTTTGACTAAAATGAGACAATTCCAGGTATGAAAAGAAATTCGGACAAAGGCAACAATACGGTGAATAACATTAATTGATTTGCCAGATTTTGTCTGTTAATATATATTTCTATAGTAGTATTAGTAAATTATAGATTACTGAATAAGAATTGTACAAGAGAGGATGTAGTAAGCTACTACTACAGTAGTTAGCCAACTGCAGTTACACAAATTTAATAGTTCAGGAGTACCAGTAAAATTAGTATCACTATCAGAAGTACTGTAATAGTAGTTAAAAACAGCAACACGCATCAATGTTCGGTTGAAAGGCGAGACTCCTTATACCTTGTTAAATTTGCGAACCTGCCGTCTGCCAATATTGATGATTTCCAATAAAAATAAAATTTTATTTTTGCCCAATTAACGCACTTGCCACCATGGAAAAAATAAAAATTTAAGAGAAAAATACAAATTTTTGTTTATTTTGCCCGCCGCTGCCTCAAAATCAAAATAAGATGTGAATTTCTTCCTAATTATATTAATTTTAAAGCATCATAAAAACCATCCCAAACTACACAGTTTACATTCAACAATAACATTTTATTTCTTTTTTCTCCTCTGTGAATATTTTTGGCAAAATCATTTGCTAAAGAAAAAAGCATATTTTTTTTTAAGTTTATTAAACAAGGTATAAAAAATATCTCGTCTAAACAACAGTATAGTGGGCAAATTCATCAAGTCACCATTCCCTCCACTTGTGATTTTTCTGCAGAAATCTCCTCATCATTCTTTTCCAAAGATAAACAAACACCCACATATTCTCAATTTACCTATAGGGCATTCTGTGAACGTCAATAGTAACTGTAACATGGTCAACATAATCATTGTTGATCTAATAGGAGTTAGCATCCAAAAGGCATGTTATACACTAGATGGAAGGAGTGATTTTAAAATCAATATATTCTTTTATGGGACAATTAATTAGCTGAATAATGACACAAGATGGTGTTTTTACATTCTTTGAGGAGAATAATTAAATTAATCATGCATTACAATGATGAGATGTACTGTATCGGGGCTGGATTAATATTGTGATAGCGATACCATTCATGTCAATGTCATCTCACCTAAATTATACAGTAATATACAATTCAAATAACCCATAGTGTTATCGAATGATGGCCATTGTTTATTTCTTGTCATCCCTCGAAATCTTCACAAAAGCTACAGTGATCAACTCTCAAGGAAAGTGAGTAAGAACAAAATTGCTTATAAGCTGCTCAAATGATGTGAACCTCAATAGGTTGTTTTTACACTTATATAGATTTATGGTTCTTGTAGCTATGATATGAGGAACGTCTATACTTAAGTTCAAGTAGAACATCATGCATACAAATTTTAGATCATTTTTATATGGAATTTGCACACCAAAAGGAAATAAATTATTATGCTTATTATAAAAAATAATTAATATTTAAAACTAGATTTTACAATGACCCACAACCTATGTGGCACCCATTCACATACAGTGCAAAAATAAAAGAAAAAAAAAGCGGCTACTGTGCCAAAGCCTTTTATTTTGCTAGCAGAAATTCAGATTCAGATTTTTGTTGCCATGGAAATGTCCAGAGTAAGAGAAAATTCCTTCTCATGAGGAAACAACAATTTCACCTTGCACAATTCCTAACCTCCATTTCTCTACAGCAAAATTTCTATTTATCTAGCAATTTTCTGGTTGTTAAATTGTGTTTTCATAGCCCCTCACTAGATAATTCAATTCTCCTATATGTAAAATCGATACAGTAAGCAAACATCACCCAAAATTTCAAATGAAAATCAACAAGGGCTAATACATGTATCAGTCAAGTCAAGACATGAGAATAAGTTGAGCAAGGATAAATTTAAACATGAAAACAAATTTGAAAACTTACTTTTAATTCCCTGAGCAATGGACCAAGTTACAATGAAGTATTAATCTGCTTCACAGAGTTAAGCCTCACAGATGTAAGTAATTACCTCAATCCTATCTCAAACTGGCTATTGAAACCCAGGAAAATCCAATTTAGAACAGATAGAATAAACAAGTTCACAAAACAGAACTGCTGTCACTGGAATATTAGGATAGAATAAATTCACCCAAGTTATCCAATTTCTCGTGCCTTGTTCACAATGCACAGAGCTTGCCTTGTAACTTGTCACTACCTTGGCTCCTACCTGCCTATAGCCTAGCTATGAATGAAAAAAAAATTCTAAGGTAATGGCCCATTCCATTTTCTATGTAGGGTTTGTTTTCTACTACTAGTATTATTATTAAAAGGTGAAAGTGTTCTAATCATTAAAATAAGATTTTCGCATTTAAATCATTAACATAAAATAAATTGTTAAAATCATTTTTTTAAAAAGCAAAATAATTACAGACATCTTTTGTGGATGTGCTTCATTTGCCCAAAATAGGATGACCTCAACAAAAAATTGACCAGGGATTAGCCTAGCCAATACACTCATGTGGTTGATAGATTTGGACTCAGTGACCCAAAACAGGATCAAATTGAGCACATGTCCAGCCATATGGTCAAACCACACATACTACTTTATATACATTTATTATATAATGAGTGGCGTAAAAACCATAATATTAGAATTTATAAAGAGTCAATTAAACAATCAAGGTTCATTATTAAAGGCGCTGTGAGTGAATGATGGAAAATTTGAGTTTTAAGTAATTTCTTAAATGAAGCAACAGAAGAACAGTTTTTAATGTGAGCTCTCACTGGCTAATACCTGAGAGCATTAGAGAAGACAAACAACAATGAATGCATGAAAGGTATGTAAATTGGGTAAGCTAATGTTAGTATTAAATAGGTAATACACTTGACATGGTGTTCTGCACAACAGTTTGACAACTAAAATGTAGATGGTTGTGGACATTTAGGGTAAATTCAGACTGCTTTTTGGTTGCAGCTAAAACTACCCTATGAAGAACTGTTCGCTGACGATCCAGGCACAGTATTGATTGTGGTGCACAAAACAGGACGCAAAAAAGAAATGTTCTTTTTTTATGAGGCCGCTTCTACTGCCACAAAGAACCACCCTATTTACAATTTTATACCACGGTTAAATAGAAAGTAATTAATAGTAATTGGTAGGAGTGGTTTGGCGTAGTGGTTGCGGTTCTGCTTCTCAACCTTGGGGTCGGAGGTTCAGTCCCTTGCTCTGTATTTCGCCCACTTTTACTATGGGTGTCTCTCTACCCAGGAGTACAAATGAGTACCAGGTAGTTTCAAACACAAAATGGATGATGCGCTGAGCTGCAATGATATTATGGAATTTTTGCCAGGGACCTGAGTATGTGTTCCATAAGACCGGGGGTAATAATGTTAAGTGCATACAGCTAGGTCTGGATCTGCCACTCTAAAGGCTGGTTCCCACTAAACTTGTCAAGCAAAAGCGTCGAGCGTCACACGGCAAGCAAAGCGAATCGCGCAAAGTTCACAAGAGTTGACTTTCGATAAAGAATGTCTCGCTTCCAATGATTCGCTTACCTGAATACTTCAAACCACTTAGTTGATGCATAGTGATATAAGTACCTCCATGTTTGATTAGCTTTGTTTCTCTTGTTTTTTGAACACAGCATGCAACAAAAATACAGTACTGTACATGTACAAACAGGATGTTCAAAAAATAAACCATGTGAGTACTGCATAAATATTTGAAATTTCAACTTTTTGTGATTTCATTAGTTTTGCCTTTTTAGTAACAGTTTAACTAATTGGAAAAATGAGTTGGACCTATCTGTTATGGGCCAATTATTGGTAGAGAACTTGATGAATAAAAAGTATAGCCGCATTAGTCTGTACAGTATAGAAAGTATAAAGTAAAAAACAGTAGCACTTTTGAGACTAACAATATATAATTTATTCTCTAGCTTTCGTCCACACAGTGGACTTCATCAGGAGACTGGTAGAGAACTATAAGAGTTGATGTGTGCATTTAATTGGCTTTTATCATGTCAACATAAACATATGGATTTGCTCCCAAATGCCAGAATAGTATTATGTTGAGCTTTGCTCGATATGAAATGATGAGTACTTAACCTCTTGTGTGACATAGCATTGACGGATCTGGGAGGACGTTTCAATTCATATAATATTCTGAGCTTTTGAAATGTGTAATAAATATATATTATATTTTCAGAAGTAATATTATATAGTCTAGTGATGTTTTCCTTTCTTCTCGTAAATCAAATGCAAGGCAAAAATAACAATAGAAATTTCCGTTCCCATCCTCATATGTTTGGTACTTGTTACTTGATACATCAAAAACTTTTTTTGATGCCTCTAGGCTTTGCCACAATGCTTTGAAAGCATCCATCTCTTTTGGCGCAAGTCGAGTGGTTGAGCGGTAAGGCAGGGGCACCGCTAACTACATCTTTGACATTGGTGCAGGTTCGAGCTGCAAAAAATTGTTCTATGTAATTTTTAAAGCATCTGATCAATTAAGCTTTTCAAATCCTGAAATTATCAGAGTTTTGGGAGATTTACCCCCTGGACCCCCTCTGAAGGTTTCAAAGCCATTCATGGTCCGCTCACTTATGCTCCCGTTAGTGGTATCAGACCCCTGTCGGGCAAATCCTGGCGAACGTGACCACTGATTTGAACAAATTAAATCTCTTAAATATAAATTAAACAATTTATGATTTATATATGCCTATATTTGAATATTGTATCAATTGAGACAGGTCCAATGTTTGTTCACTTGTAATAGTTTAAATTAATGTAAGAATTTTACAATTTTAAAAAGTTTTGTTACAGTAAACTTCAGAATGTGGAAAATAATTTAGTAGGACACAACTGATTTACTCAGTAGATAGGTTGTAAGAGCCATTGACAGGGCAGAAACTGCCAAATTTACATTGTTAATTAAGTGATTTCATCAATCAGCTAAAGATGTCTCCAATAAAGTAATACAAAATGCACGCATCTCATTTGTGATGCAAACATGTCAATCCTACAACTATCATAGCTAACTTTCATTATAGAAAAATTTGTTGTATTGTACATTTCTTTCCATTTTGTTGTATCAACCTATCACTATAATGATAATATCAATAGCACATACTGTACCACATTGATTCCAAATATAGTCCCCACATTCCACCAATAAAAATTTTTGAAGCAAAAAAAAAAAAAAAAAAAAAAAAAAAAAAAAAAACTATCTAACAGGTAAAACTTACCTACAGTACCACCTTATTTTAGGGGATAGCTCACCTTATTTTGGGGGATAGGTCTCCTTCACATACTCATCAAGCCCCCCCACTTCATTTTTGTACCCCCTCCCCCATTCTCCTAAATACGCCATTGTCCAAATACTGTCCACAATTTCAAGCACGTCCTACATATCTTACTCATTTAAAAAACAATTAAATTAACATTCAAAATTTTAAGAATGTGAGGTTCTTAGCTACTTGGACTCTCCTATTCATAACCAAACAACAAACACTTCAGGCCTACTCATCAAATAATTAGAGCAATGTTGTCACTATAACAAAAGTCTAGTAACACAGGCGCTGCTAGGAGACTGACTAAAGACGTCACATGATTTGGATGGAGACATTAACCATAAGTAATTATTTTCTCATGATATGATGCTCTGTTTATGTATTGATTTTGTAATAAAAGATGAGAAAAACCATGCATACTGTGACAGAATTCCTAAACCACCAGACATGTGGTTTAGATTGATTTATTACAGTATATAAATATTCACAAATAAAAAATTCAAGTAATGCTAGCGTTAAATGTTAGCTACTCGCTTAAAAGGGACCTGCATAAACTAAACTTAAATTTCTGGTACACGTCGTCAAGCGCTTGCAGAGAGTGTATGTATATACATCGGCTAACAATTGTACAACTGTCGATGCATTGTGTACCCGGCTTAGCATGCACATAGTCCTTGCCATACACACGATGAAATGCATAACCACCTTTTCTAAAAGTAACTTGTACCATATACATTAGCCCTCCTTCAGAAACACTGGTAGAACCGGGGTAGAATTCAACCAGGGACCCATGGACTACAAATGTTCAGTGAACACACAGCGGCTACCACATTTATCCACTGAGCTACGCGGCCCTCTTGTCCTTGTACATTGTCTTTAATTCTTATATTTTATTTGACATCAATTGATCATCACATTTAAAAATCAGCAATTTATGTAGATCTTTATTTACATTATTAATAGTGCTATGAAGTCTTGTCAATGACATGAATTGACTTCAACATTTAAATATTCATGAAGTTATATGGATATTTTATTTATATTAAGTGCTATGAGGGTGGTATCGATCATTATATCTAAATATTCATAAATTTTTGTGAGTGTCTACTTCACATATTGCTATGCAATCAAGTCCAGGTAACAATTGATTTTTATATTTATATGTTATGGGTCCCTAGTTGGATGAAGCTACATCAGGGAGATGGTTTTAATGAGTATATTTTTAACACATGGTACAGGTATGGAGATTTTCCGACTTTGAAAGTATTGATGTATCAGCTATGGATTGCACATACTTATTGTTGGTAAGCTATACAGCGATGTCATCAAAGGTATTGTGTAATAGAGAGACTTTTTTATTTTAATAATCGCTGTATTGCCGGTTTTGAAGTTTTATTTAGGTTTGGAAAAAACGAATGAATCTGAGGAAAATTTCACATAATACTGTACATATTAAATACCTTGGGGAAAATTAAGTATACTATATTATTAAAGATTTAATAGTCATCTGTAAGCAATGTATTAAAAAGACAATCATAGGAAACAAAACATTCAGTTTGATTTTTATCACATTTTATTTTTGTAAGAAATAAAGATACTTTAAATTTATTTATTTATATATAACACACTTGGATGAGTCACTGCTGCTGAACTTAGCATGGGCTATCTAGTCCTCCCTAGTGTCTGCAACTTTTCTTGCCGAGGTTTGTTGTTGAAATGTCTATAATATTTATTCCCCTGAATTGTTTATTGTCTGGGAATAGTTTCGATTACACTCATGGTCATCGTTTCCTGTTTAATTTTATATATCAGCAGCGCGTGCATAGTTTCGGCCTATATCTTTTGATGCTATGAAGGATTTGCAGAATACTCCAATATAGCCAAAAGTTTAACACCCTTATTTATTTTATTGAGAAGTGTGTTTTGTACAGTTTGCCTTTTATCATGTGTTTATTCAATAAAAGTGGTTTAAAAAAAAAAAATTACTTATGAAATTACTCATTTGCATAACAGGATAGTATCTCTACCCTCTAGAGGGCAGTAGACACAAATTATGAAAAGGAAACATATTTTGACTATTAAGATTATTACACTTGTCCCACGAAGTGGGGTGAGGGTATTGATACATGTATCTCGGTCCTCCCCGATTTTGGTGCTCATCAGAAGTTGGATGTAGATTTCAGAATGTTTGTCGCAACTGACAGAGCCAACTCGAGCGAATCGACTGACGCACTTGCTACTTGAGGCCTATCCTAGGCCTCGTTTGGCTGATGGATTGGACAAGTAAGATGCAGATTTCATGTTTTTTAACTGCTGTTCTAATATAAAAAAATATCTTTAAAATATGAGGGAAAAAAACCACTTTTAACTTATAACCCATCATCCTCGTTTTTTGGCAATTCAAGTAAATTAGGCATGGCATATTTCGTAGGCTTACTTTTATAGCTTATTATAATGCATCCCATCATTCCTCCAACCAGATATACTCTCACAACTTACAAGTGAGATGATAGCTAAGTGACAGCAAGTGAATTACTGTACAAGTAAGAGATTGTTGACTTTTTAGTTCTTTCTAAGGTCTTATCTAGGCGTGGCATATTTCGTAGGCTTACTTTTTTAGATTATTATAATGCATCCCATCATTCCTCCAACCAGATATACTCTCACACTCTTACAAGTGAGATGATAGCTAAGTGACAGCTCCCCCGTGGGCAATATACACAAAAACTACATCTAACAAATATTTTGTTTTGGAAGATACAAATGCAGGAGTAGATTTCTAGGGCAAATCACTACTGATTACTGATGTATTTACCACAGGTAATATAAGGATTTCAGATCTTCTGCCGATTCCATGAGTAATTAAGCTGATTGGCTGAGAAGATTATGAATGAGTGGATGAAAAGCATGACAGTGACAGATAGAATCATGAATTAGAACAGAACCATGAGAGCCAATGAGTAACGGCAGGTGACATTCAGGGATTTTACAGATGTAAAGAAAATCCAAACATCATATGTGGCAAAGACAAACCAAACCAATCACTGGTCGCAAAAATTAATTTTTAGTTAATATGAGAGCTATAAAATGGTAAAAGAATCATTTAAATCCGACAACTTATGAAGTTACAAGCATTCAAACATAGAGGCTGTTTAAAGAACAATATTTAAGAAATCCGCCTTCAAAGTTTACAATTTCGGGCATTTCTTAGGCAGAAACCATCACCAAATCGTTAAAAATTGTTGTTTTGACATTGAAAATGGAGAAAATAACAGCATGGCATGATGTATAGATATATAAAGGTCAGTCTAGTGCAATAAAATAGGTTTTTAAAAAATGTTGACATTCCAGCATGTTTTGACCATTATCTCTGATTTGGCTCGTCCTTGCTACACATTCTTTTTAGGTGATTTGTATGTAGTACACAAAAATGTTATTTATTAATCAGAACTTGTGTGGTATAGATTTTTACAGTAGGGCCTAGATACCTAATATTACTACATTCAATAACAAATACCGTACTACATTATGTAAATAATAAGCAGCTAAATTCTTAATTATCACACTAGAGCTACAGCATTATCTATTACAAACCCTACTGGAATCACTCCTTATGGTTTATAACCATTTAGGTCTTTAATACCTTTTTTCGTGAACTTATTTTTTTAAAGATCGTCACAGCGGGGAAATTAAAAAATATAATTCTTTTTTAGCAAATGGTTTTGCCGAAAACATCCAGATGGAGAGAAAATAATAATAAAATGTCATTGTTCAATATAAACAGTGTAGCAATGGGATGGTTAAATGCTTTAAATTTATGTAATTAGGAAGAAATAAACATGTTATATTTTTGGAGATTTCAAGGCGGAAGCGGGCATTAATAAAAATAAAGAAAAACGTTTATTTTTCTCTGAAATTTCCACTTTTTGTGGCTGTTGCGCTAACTGGCCAAATTCTGTTGCGCTAACTGGCCAAATATGAAATTTTATTTTTATTTCAAAATATCATTATTGGCAGGCAGAGCGAAAAACTCTACCTATAGTAGAAGCTTCCTCAGTCTGAGATTTGATTTAGCTAGTAGCCTCATAATGAAAACTTACTGTCATCTGCTTACTGGATGGTCACTGCACACCTTAACAGTCAGTCAGCTTTAAATTTATATAATTAGGAAGAAATATACATATTTTATTTTTAGAGATTTCAAGGCAGCGGCGGGCATTAATGAAAATAAAGAAAAACTTTTTTTCTGAAATTTCCATTTTTTGTTGTGGTGGTTGCGGAAATTGGCCAAAAATAAAATTTTATTTTTATTTCAAAACATCATTATTGGCGGGCAGCGGGTTCGCTAAACAAGCGAAAACGTCTACCTATAGTAGAAGCTTCCTCAGCCTGAGATTTGATTTAGCTAGTAGCCTCATAATGAAAACGTCATCTGCTCACTGGACAGTTCATGGCATACCTTAAAGCCCCATTGCCGGCAAAATTTCACTAAAAAAAGAATTTTTTAGAAAAAATGTATATGCATTACTCTAATTATTATAAACCATGGAAAAATATTGGCATAAATATTAGTTTTACTCAAAAGAATTTAAAAAATGAGAAATACTGACTACTTCTCATAGGAGATTACCATTTTCTTGATGAATTCTTTGTTTCTAGGAAAATTCAGAGATTGTAGATCGCATCCGCTGGAATGCTCTTGCTGTTATGTATACTTTATACACTCAATAAAGTGCGGCCTCTCTAATGAGATTAGTTTTTGTACTTCGCATCTCGCACACTGCGATCGATCGAGTAGGCCTGAGATATGTTTGTATAATTGTCAAAATCTTGTTCACAATTATTTTTTTAACAAGTTTGAAATAATTCCTATGAAATATTATTTTTCACAAGTATCAATACTAGCAACAGAATAATATATGTCGGCTGTTTTTGTGTGTGATAATCGAAGTAAGGCTAGGCCTAGCCTAGCAGTGTTGGATAGGGCTAATGTTTCCAGCGTCTACTATATTTCTTGGCAGGCCTATCGCAAAATCAAACATAAAAAATAACACAGTCAGTCAAATTGAGACCTATTTTTCTCACAAATGTTTAATCCCTGAACACCATAAAGACTCTACCCATATGTACACAGGACAAGACAGTGCTATGTTATTTGTGACAGAAGTAATTGTTTATTAATTTGTTTAAATTTTTGACCCTAATGACCTCTGTGTGACCTTTGAACCCAAGTTGTGAACACCCCATAAATGGAAAGTGACACCGGTCCTACTGACCAAGTTTGAATAAAATCAATCCAGTAATTTGCCACTAGTAGCATTTTGAAATGTTGCCAGAAAGAAACTGCACAGAAACAGAAGCCCAGTCATTTTCATAAACATTCATAATAGTAACTTGAGTCTCGTATTCAATTGATATGACAAATTTAATTTTTGCAAAAGATAAGATCAAAATTATAATTTTTAAAATTGATTAATCAAAGGAAAATACATGCTTTTAAATAGTGAGGTTACCCACCTTCTACTAAGATTATGTTTCAGGGACGTCAATTATATTAAACATTAACTTGCAAATACCTACATAATCAGATTGATGAAAGCAGAATTCTTTAATCTATTTATGGTGATTTGATGAGAATGATAGCAAGAGAAAATGCCATAATTACATCTTTCTATGCATACAAAGTAGCGCAAGAAGCTTACCAATTTTTGAAAAAATCTCAAGGGTTTAGATGATAAAATCAATAGACAATGTCGGACCGCAGCTAAGATGTCATCCACAATGGAAGATTAATTGAAAAAAGGACTTTTAATATCTACTCATAAGCATATATCATGTTTGAAAGTAATGCTTTTTAACACAAGGTCATGTCTACAGATGAAGGGTGATGTTTTTCCTTCATGAATTTAGATTGCAAATATATTCTGTTATTAATCTTATCCATAGTCTAAATTGAAATGTCATAATTTTCTCTTTAGGACTTTTTTTATAGAAAAACCAGATATTCATGGAAGGATCAATAAAGTTCTCTATGGAGTACGTACAAAACCAAATACAGTAAAACACTTTAGTTCTGTTGCATCTTCTTACTTATATACAAAAAGACCAAAATCTCTCAAAATGAATTAAATATAGAATAAACACTTGGAACAATTTCTCACCACATAGACATAATAATAATAATAATATAGAAATTTATATAACGCCTTTTGCCAAAGAATACAAGGCGCTTAAAGATAGAAAATGTGAAAAAGTGTAAAAGCTGTTTAACTGAAATTGCTTTTTATGGGAATTCTCCTTTTTGATAAATATATACTACTGATAATTGTAAGTAAACCAAGTAATCTAAGTTAAAATAGTTATGAAACGAAGGTGAAATTGCATCGTTTTATGAAAATTTATACAATTAACACGAGTCCCAAGTTGGGAAAGTCACTTCCAGAAGATCTGGTTTAATGACCATTCTCAACACATCTAACTTTAGTTGTTGCGTATGATTATACCATGCCGGAAGACCATGACGATTTTTAAGAGGCTCCTGCGATTTTTAGTTTGTCTTGGGACCCATGATGTAATATAACATTGCCACAATATTTTATACTGGGGGATATTAATGTCAAAATAAACTTGAAATTGTAAGAGTAGAATCACATTTTATATGGTAATAATATACGTATGTTTGCTCATTGGTATAAATTGGCATTGTAATGTATCTTCTGTATTTATGATTGCTAAATACAGATTCATAGACAAATTACAATGCACACAAAAACTGGAGAATAAGTCAATGAAAGCCACTGAATACAAGACCTGAATTTGTTGCATAATTACCTGTATTAAGTAAATTAACACTACAGATGTTTAAAGCACTTAAAACAGTTACAATCAATAATTTACTTAAAAAGAAAAGTTTTTGAAACAAAATTTTAACACATAACAATGTTACTATCATGTACAGTAAATCTGGTTTCGTAAAAATATTATAACTTTCTTTTTTGTTAAACCAGGAATAAACTTTGGTGAAAATTACCAACGTTTCATGAACTGTCAGTTCATACTCTCAAGTTATGTTTCTTTTTGGAAACAGCGACTGAATACTTGAAATAGTGCCACCAGTCTATGTTTTTGACTGGAATTGCCTGGCCCTGCTCTGCGTTGTGCCAAAAATATCAAAGATGTGGGGATTAAGGTGCCTCCTTGGTCTCTATTCATTGCATATCTTAAGCGTCTTCCAGTCTCTCCAATATACACCTAACGCAAATCAAACAGCTGACCTGATAAATGGTGCCACTACAGTCTAGAGTTCTGATCTACAATCCCAGCAGCAGATGTCCTATCCTTGGTTTTTCTTCTAGTTAGTACTCTATCTACTCGCATTCCGCCAAAGCTTTCTTTATGGTCTTCATCTCTTTCTGATGTTCAATATGTAATGATGTCACACTCTTACACCGATTGACAAGTGTGGTAAATACGGCTTTTAAGTCATCATATAACCAATCACAGGATAGAACTATGTATTTTCAACATACAGTATCATCAGTAGCCATAGAATTGTGAATAGTAATTCACCAAAAATTTATAATATTACCACCACTTTAGAAAATGATATTTTAAAGATAAAATGTCAGAAAAAAATAATGTAAATTCATGTCCAAAGATTAGACGAGCATCCATGAGTAACAAAAATGAAACGGTTATGTAGGTTTAATTAGCAAATTTCTGATTCATCAGGACGATTTAATTGTTTTAGTTCGGAGATTAAGTTCCGCTATTAATTCTATTTATCACTTAGCCTACCTATATAATATCGATAATTCTTCTTAAGTTAATGATACAATGAAAATAGAACTCTGTATGGGGCCAACTAGAGGCTATTATAATTATGGAAACAATCCTTGGTTGGCTTGGCAATTACCATACTTCATAATTATAATCCTCTCTATACCATGTAATTAATGAAACCTATTTTGTCAGTGGTTGATATACTGTATTGTACAAGTATCAAAATGCCAACTTTGGTATGGAGAATCACATTTAATCTTTAATTACCCCATCAGGATTGAAACTAAGACATATCACAGTGCAACAAATCCCCATTTTTTTGTTAGTGTCTCAAAAGGTGTACCCATAGGCGGCAGCATGGTTTGAACGTTAAGCAAGCCTGGTAAGCACTTTGCAAATAGAGTGAGGAGGCTGGATCAACGGGATCACCGAGAACTTCTGCTTGGGGTCCAAGAGCCAAAGGCCCTTGAAAAATTAGCATCTTTTACATTCTGGGAGATATAATTTTGTGATTTTTATAATGTAATCTCCCATAAAAACTTCCGACCAAAATAAATAAGCCAACTAATCGCAACAACACCTTATGTAGAACCATCTAATTTTGTTTTTTGTCAGAACACCAAGAATGCTCTGAACCAGATGCTTCAACTCGTCATCATTGATCTATGGTGGATTGAGTGGTAAAGACGCAGATAAATTTATGATTCAGGACTTTGAATGGCATGCACTGGTTTCTGATTCCGAGGCTATAAACCTTGAGGGAGACAGTCAACCAGTCTCCATCGTACATTTGATAGAATGGTAAACGAAATAGGAATGTACAAATGAGATTGAAATATATAGTTGGAATTTAACATACGACAACACAGCAACATCCCATGATTCACATAATAACCATCTGAATGTGGCCGAAACAACTTCTTAGAATCATGTGTTTAGACCTTAACACTGCTTACAAGACATTTTATGACTCTATATGATTTGTTTAGTTTTCTATTCTAAGGATGACTATCACATGGTTAAATATTTCTGATGATGTTACTATTTTAAGTATAATAAAAATAAGGCAAGCATAGATCGATGAACTGTGTAATGAAAATAAACTGGTACTAAAATAAAACGTTAGTAAAACAAAGGAAGTTTGGGAAACAGAAGCTTGTATAAATTTTCATTGTACAGTACAACATAAATAAGTTTAGGCCCAAGTTTTGTTTATGTGAATAATAAACCATGCTTAAAGCATCTTGACCCATGATCTTCATAAACTGTTTTGTGCTATTGTAATCACTATTAAAAAGGCACAATGGCACCTACTCCAGTATATTTTTGTGTGCGTCAAGACAGAAGTTTTCAGGGTTAATTCACTCATATTACTTTTTTACAAGTCTGTAATTCGAAGCGTTCTAAATTTGTTATTTTGTGGTTCAGCGAAGCTACGAATAAACATATGGAAGATATGCATCATGATAAACCTGAAATGTATGACATAAAATGAGGTGATACCAATACAATACCAGTAATTGCATCATAAATTCTCTAACAGCCAACTAAACAAATAGTGAAGAATAGCAAGTACCTCATTAATGACATGTTTGATATTGTATTTCTTTGATGATTATAAATCCTCTCAATGCATCTCACTTCCTTTAGAACACATCCTTAACCGACTGCGCCATCCATGCAAAGTACCCTATTAGTGTAATGGCAGTAATGTACGGTCCTTTGCTGAAACCCGTTTTGTTTTGTAGGTGTAGGGGGGGGCCCACCCTGGGGTCAGAATTTGTTGGAAATCACCTCTAGTTTTTGTGTACAAAATTTCCTGCACGTCGGTTTAAAACTGGCGATGTTGGATGATTTTAAAAGTTCTGGTAACAAGAACAAGGACAGCAGTGAGGCTCTGGAGTCAGCGGCTTGCGCGGACCCAAAAATCAACTGGCAGTGCTTTTTTATACAGTACTCTGATAATCAGCTAAAATACAACCTAAAAGTAGGACACACTAATATAAACACAAAAGTGTCATGGTTACCCATTTATTAAAAAATTCACCAATAAACTCTTATTATAAATTACATTATAATTTTCTGTAACCATGGTAAATATGTCATTAAAATTGAGTTCCATGCAAAGCCACTCAGATATTCCATTTTGCAATCAATAATTTTTTAATAGTTCATACGAGTTCAGAAATACAATTTTTTGGCTTTGATGCAAAATAACCATAAAACTCAATTCTATGGAGTATTTGCTGCAGCGGTATGCTTTGTTCTCTTAATTGAAAATGATGGGAGTTTGAGTACGAGGCTGGTTGCATTGTATTAGATCAGTCACTGTTAATAAAACAAGTCGTTGGGGCGCCCGGCAGGCTTCAGTGGCAGAGCCCATGGCGGGGGTTTGGCGATGAAGCCCCCAATGTTCGGCATTTGATGTAATTAAATGGCTAAATTAAATTACAAATATATTAACAGAGAGTAGATCATGCCACCATCTTGAAAAAATGCATTGTGAAAATAGAATGTAAACTCAGTCAGGAGTCAGGCAATTTGATCCAAGGAAATGTAATTAATTCAACATTTATTCTATGTGTGAGCGTTTCAGTTCCTCTTCAGTGTTTGATGACTACTAAGTTGATAGGCTTATTTTAGACTGGGTTCCAGTCCCTAAACCATTGGCTTACTTGCATGGCGTTCCATAGTATACTTTTTCTGGGATTGGTGGTGCTTTCCGAAATGTGCTAATATTACGAAAAAATCAATAAATTAGAGACTTGTGGCAAGTCTAGGCCTATTTTAATTAAGTCAAACACTGAAGAGTAACAAAGTCGCGTTTGAAATATTCGTTTATTCGATTTATTCTGTGTACAAACCAATTTTAATATATATATATATATATATATATATATATATATATATATTACATGCACCTATTTGTTACATGCACCTATTTGTTTCTAGCCGTACCTATTGTGTAATAGAGTGTATCTGGTGGTATTTGAATCTGTTCAACCATGAAGCCTCCGTGGTCTAGTGGTTATGACACTC